AATGCTAGGCGCTCCCTTTCCTCTGTTGCCATTGGCCCGACGGTTTCCTGGGAGGGCAGGCCAAGAGTCTGCGAAGTTCTGGAACATAGGAGGATACCCTGAAGGAATACCGACACCACCAAGAGCAGAAGAGTGGACAGAGGAGACATCGTCAGGAATATAGCCTATCACGGATCCGTTGTCGTGGAAGTCGTTGCGCTGGCCATTTCTTCCATTCATCATTCCATTGGTCACGCTAGAGGCGTGGTTGTACGCCATCTGGAATCGCTGTGGCCCTCTATATGCCTGTTTAGGGCGGCTGAACTGGATCAGGGATTCCTGAAGATTGGACAGAGGTCCCTCAACCAAACAATGCCGTTCTTTGAAGTGCTGCAACAGGCAGTTCCACAAAGGATGCTTAGATAGCACCTTTGGGTTACCAAGGATCGCTAGACCATATTTCGCTCGTGTAAGTGCAACATTGAGACGGCGCGGGTCGCTCAAGAAACCGATGCCTTGATGGTCGTTGGAACGCACACAAGAGAGAATGATGAAATCCTTCTCTCGTCCCTGGAAAGCATCAACGGAAGCAACTTCAATTTCCTTGTAGTGTTCCTTCTTGAAGGTACCCGTTGCCTGCATGGAGCTAACGATGTAGCTACGCTGGCCTTCATAAGGGGTAATGATACCAATGTCTTGAGGCTGCACACCAGCCTTGAAGAAACGGGTCACTATTTTCTCCACATTTGTGGATTCTGTACGATTGAGATAAGATGTTCCAGAGGCAGAGATCTCCTCATTGCCCAAGTTCGACCAGAACATCATGGGATTATCGCTGATGGGCCAGGGGAAGTCAACATCACGACGAAGACGCTCGATAGAAGAAATGCCGTTCTGCAGAGAACCTTCGTAGAACATGTTCGAAGGGAACTCTGAGAGACATGGATGCATACGGTACTGCACGTTCAAGCGGATAGGAGAGCAACCTAGGATAACGAGTCGCTCAAAAAGCGACTGGTTGAGACCAGCTTTAGCTGCTTTCTTGTTCATAATGACGGGTCCAAGCTGCTGGTGATCACCAACGAGGACAACCTGCTTGCATCCTAGAACCAACGGAATCATACACTCCGGCTCAGCGGATTGTGTAGATTCGTCAATCAATACAGTGCGGAACTTGAGCTTCGCGAGACGAGGGTCACCGGCACCAACGCAAGTGCAGCAGATAACATCAGCGTTGTTCAAAATCTCGCGCTCCGCTGAACGCGTGAGCTGTTTCAGTCGCTTTTCGTCTTGGCTCGACAACTCCCCGAGTTCCGACTTAAGCTGATTAAGCTTCAGGAGTTCGATATTGCTATCATTCAGGCGAACTTGCTCATGCAGAGACAAGAAACCGACGGGAGATTCAACGTCTTCGCGGGATTTGGCGGTTACACGTACTGTCTTCAGACCGGTTCTGTGGATACGCTCGCAGAGTTGATCAACGGCGACGTTGGAAGGAGCGCAGACTAGGACCTGACCTCCATTGAGTTTGGCAAGATGATAAATGATGGTAGCGGAGGTGACAGTCTTTCCGGTTCCGGGAGGCCCTTGAATAAGACTCAGAGGCCGCTGTAGGACGCTCTTGACTGCGTTGATCTGGCTACCATTTAGTTCTGGAAGGCCAGGGACACTGAATTTCTTGGGCATCTGTGTCTTCATTGGTGCAGCGGCGACCTCATGACCCAGAAGCCGATGGAAGATGTAACCAGAAACGCTCATCTCATCAACTGCGAACGTCTTCATGGCGAGTTGCATACGATCAAAAGAGGTGGACTTCCATACATAGTCGGCAGTAAAATTATGTGTACACTCTGTAGGCACCGACTTATGATCTCCCTTTGCTCGCAGCTCAATAGTAACCTCATCAGACTGGTTGTTCGGGATCTTGATGACGTATCCAACCCCTTCCCACTTGGGCCGCAGTTCTCCAGTGTATTTCAGTCGCATTTCGTCTCCCACAGCCAGTTTGACATCGCCAAGCTCAAGCTTTGGTAGAATGAAGCTAGCCAGATGTTTGTTGTTGAGACCAAGATCCCACCGCACAATCAGCCCATCCTGCGACTGTGACTCTTTTAATTTTCGATCGTAATCCGCTTCAATCTTGACGAGTGGTCCGAAAATGTTCTGATACTGGAAAGCATCATCATAACGCAGAAGAACGGGGGCAGGCTCGTCATCTACAGCGGTGGCCTTCTCGAGATCTGAAAACGTGGCTTGGGAGTTTTCTTTCCACATTTCCTCCAGTTTTGCAATGAGCTGAGGGCTAAGGTGGCGAGCTCGCAGCTGCTCTTGGTCAGACGGTGCAGCTACAAGCCACGGCAGGAACGAACGATCTTCTATGAGTGGCTGCCAGCGGGAAGTATCCCAGTTCATATCTTTGGACGATGGCATGGCGGCACAAGGTTGACGGCATAGTAATACGACGACCGTATCAGACTTCGCTGGGATGAACCCAAGAAGGAAGACGTTCTTAGTTCCACAATTGTAGCACTCCAAAATTGTATCTCCGAGAGACGAGGCAGGGTGTAATTGCACTTCCTTGTGTCGTGCTCGAACGAGGTGGTTGACAATGTGAGAGGACGAGGTATTTCCACGAGCGCTACAAAACCACTTGCTGCATGAGAGACATTTCACAACACTGCTCGGATTATGGATGCCGCAATATCTTCAAGGCGATCTAGGATTAGCTAAACTTCGATCTAGACGTAGAGATATACAATGATACTTACGCGCATGCATGTGGCGGGAGCTCCTTTTCCTCCTCTGTGTGTCTTTGATTTTCTGCATTCCCAGTAGCGGGAGCGCTAGTTGTACTTTCTAGGTCGTCATCCCCATTATCCGAGCCGTCATCGTCATCGTCATGCCTCCGCGGGCGGAGACCACCAGTTATGTCATCCAATTCCCTTAAATCATCGCCTAAAGCCGCCATCATCGATCGTAGAATCCGGACTAAAATACTCTCCCAGGAGAAGCAAGAAAAAGGCGCTGTTAAAGAGCTCGAAGACAGGAACCGTGCAAAGCCGAAACGCCCAGTCCACCACAAATCAGAATCACGAGTCGGTCATACACGAACTTTCCTGATATATCGGTTGGGATAAGTTGGAGATGAAAGAGCGTTAAGGACAAACCGGCCGTCTCAGAAGTTGAAGAAGAAAACGAGGTGGTAGCGAGATCTGTCTTGATTTATAAGATAACCCAGCGTGCCACAGTAGAGGGGCAAGAAGAATGAGAGGCTAAGGTCTTGTCTCAGCGATGAATTCTTCTTGGTCTGGAATGGACGATGCCTGAGGAAAACTCACATGTAAACTCTCACTGATCAGTAACCGAGTCCCTAATTCACCACAAAGCCCTATGACAGTGAGTCGGTCTGTCCTCGATGGTAGAAAGTTGTAATTCACAGGACTCGGCGATTCGCTGGTTTGCGATCGGCTCACCTTGTTTTATTATCGGTCTATTTGCCGCCAAATCCCACACAGTCCGGTGGCCTATGCGGACCACCAATGCAATTAAAAAAAGTTGCCCGCCAAAGACAAAGCTTCAACCAGTTTCTTTGAAGACATCCATCCAAACAAAATGCTTGTACGTTTTGGCCCTATTATGATTTACACTCTTCGCTATGAACCGGGAGACTTTTACTAACTGTCTTTAGCGCCGTCAAGCTCGTGAGCGCCGAGATTATCTTTATCGGAGAGCGCTGCTTCTCCGCGATGCCTCTATCGCCGAAAAGCGAGCACAGTTGAAGGCGTCGCTAGCTTCTGGAAAACCCCTTGATCCTTCCATCGCAAATGACAAACAACTTCGTGAAGATTTCAAATATGACGAGTCCTTACCTACGGCGGACAAAAAAGATAAGGATGCGGATATGCTAGACCTTGACGACGAATATGCCCTCACCTCAGGAATTGTCGATCCCCGTCCCATTGTCACAACTTCTCGAAACCCGTCTGTCCGTTTAGGCGCATTTGCAAAGGAAATCCGTCTGCTTCTTCCCACATCGATTCGGCTGAACCGTGGTGGTCTTGTTCTCCCAGACCTTGTATCGAGTGCCAATGCTGCGGCGTTGACAGATATGGTTCTCCTCCATGAACACCGAGGAACCCCCACAGCGATGACTATTTCTCACCTCCCGCATGGACCGACGGCTAGCTTCTCACTTCACAATGTCGTTCTTCGTGCAGACATTCCAAATGCTGCCCGTGGGACCGTGTCGGAGAGCTACCCCCACCTTATATTCGAGGGATTCAAGACAAAGCTGGGCCTTCGGGTAGTGCAGATCCTGAAGCATCTCTTCCCTCCACGTGAGGCTGGAAAGGTCGGCAACCGGGTCGTCAGTTTCGTCAACAGGGAGGATAGCATCGAAGTGCGACACCACGTGTTCGTGAAGACGAGTTATCGGGACGTTGAACTGGCCGAAGTTGGTCCACGCATGACTATGAGATTGTTTGAGATCCGCGGCGGATCCCTGGAGAAGGGCTCTAGTGGTGATGTTGAATGGGCTCTTACACAGTACACAAGAACCAGCAGGAAGAAGGACTACCTGTGAGCCGGTTCGTTGGCGACGGCTGCAACGGTTTGGTGCGATGTATCTTTATCTTACGAAGACACAAGAAAAGTCTGTCTTGGCGCTTAAGGTGTTGGAAGGTTTAAAAAGGTTAGCATTTAGCTGTTTAACATCACTGTTTACTATTGTATACCCGTCTAGAGAAACAGACACCTAGGTGTCCTGAATGGATATCTGCTGATGGTGTATCTTCATGTTATTTCCCATATGCAAGTTTTCTTCCCAATGTATGAAGCAGTCGTTGAGACAAGATGGCATCAAGCAAGAGACTCTTGTAGCTTTAGCATTCATGCGAAGCCCCAAGTCCGAGAAAGAGAGGAGCTAACTGGTCACTCATGGCTGCTGACAGTGAAACCAACGCGAGTTAGTATATTAGTAGCACTAACGAATCAAAACCTCGACTGATACTGTCACTTCCAGATTAATTTCCGATTATATCGGCGCTGCTGGCCGAGCCGTTCTGGATGAAGTGGGTAAATATGTTCGTGGTGTATTCGTAGGTATACCAGCCCCCATGGTGAGGCAGAAAATTCCCTTCATCATCTCTCTTCGGCTGGGGCCGGGTTCCGTCTTCACGTAACGCCCAGCTCTTTCCCGTATATTCTTCGAAAAACCGTTCAAATGCTGTCAAGGCCGTGTCCAAGCTGCTTCCTGTTGGAGCAAGAATCTGGTAGCTTGCTTTACCAACACGGCTGTATCTGCATTCGGTTTCATATGTACACGGTTCACCATTGGATTCGTAGATCTGCAGTTTTTATCGAAGTATCAGCACTGGTTGTGGAGAATAGAACAACCACCCCAATCTGTAGCCAAAGACCAGATTCATATATGTAACTAACCGTAAGTTGAAACTTCTCGTTACGTTTCGTGATTGTCTGTCGGACAAGCGTGGCTTTGTATGGTTGACGAGTTGTCATGTCCGTGTATACATGACGCTCCGCTATATTTTCTCACCATCAACACCTAAGCCGGTCAAGCACATGGAGCGGAAGACATACATGTAGTGAGTACAGATTTCTTCCTACGGCTGACACCTGAAGGGCCGCCTTTTGCGTTTACTTTTCCTAACATCATAATGTGAGCCCTGTTTTGGAGATGATATGTATATAAATTGAGAGTGTGTACTTGTAGGCTTACCTGTGGGCTTTTTCATAGACCCACCCTGCTGCTTTGGGGTCTTCCTGGCTTTCTCCTTTGCTGCTCTCCTTTCCTCCTTCAGGATATTCTCGATGAGATATGCCTTTTCCCGTTTTGGTGTCCGATTACGGGAAAGTAGAGAATCCTCCAACCATTCATAAGATACTATCTTCACAGTCCCAAGACGTCTAGCTTCTTTGACTTTAGTCAGATGTGTTAGTAAAGCAAGAGTCTAGTAACTCAGGTGTTGGGGAACTAACCTGCAGGGATGTTGTTCATATAGGCGTCTTTGGTTGTAACTAGGTGCGTCACATCGTGAGTGACTTGCCTAGAATACCTTCCCCCGTTTGCTTGAACCCATTGCGGGATTTTTTTACCGCTGTCTCCAAGCTTCCCAGCCGAGCACATGTGAACCTTTGCAAAAGTCTTGCCCATATTGACTGTATGAATATAGGTAGGCGGTTGGTTTGTGGAACAGGACAGGTAGATCGTCGGAAAGCACTTGGGATTCGAGAAGGCAACTAGATGGTCTGGCAACAACTACTTATTTGCTATGCTGAGTGGAAAAGCTAGGTTGTGTGAGAGTAGAGAAAGAGTTTATAGAACGAGGTGATTCATGAAATGTCATACTATCAACAATGAACGCATTCCTGGGATGATTTGAAAGTGAGAGCTCGAGCATAGTTCGCAATCTTGACTATAGACACATCTGATTTGAGATAGTTGTATCTTAAAACTAGTTCATAAACTAAATGTGAATCGCAGCCCGAAATTGAAGTGTAGATTGAGTCATTGCTCAAAAGACAAAAGGAAACTCATTCATGATCATCGCTGCGGGTCCGTGACAAGTTGCTGCTATCTGAGAACAAAAAGCCTATGAATTACTGCTGAAGTCCTCTCACTGCCTGTACAAAGGCATGAATTTTACTCGGATCCTGAGCGCCATCCGACTCCACACCAGAACTGACATCTACCCCAACAACCTTGTGACCTGATTTTCCTAGCTTCTTAATTGTGTCAGCAACGTTTGTGGGATCCAATCCGCCAGCCAAGATAACACGCAGGCCAGCATCGCTGTCCAGAACGTTTTGAACACCGGATTGGTCGAGCAATTCACCAGAGCCACCAGCTCCAGAATCAAGTAAGGGCAAAGTGTGGTAGGCTCTTCGTGCAATTCCAGTCTCGTCAAGACCGAATTTGCGGATGACAGGCACCGGTATTAACCTAGCCCATTCCAATGGCTCAGAACCGTGTAATTGAACTACGTCGAGCTCCAGCTTTTGTTGCTGCTCCAGGATGTACGACAATGGCTGATTCTGGAACACACCCACGAGCAGGGCTCGGTTGGGATGGCGTAGAACATTAGTGGAATGATCAAAGTAATCAACCGAGGCTGCAGGTGATGTTCCTTGAGTGGTCGAAGCGGCATAAGGGACAGGTCGTTTTGTCGACTTTACAACTTGAGAAATTCGAAGAGCAACATCGTCTGAAACAGTTCGCTTTCGTCCCTGTACTTGAATAATACCAACCAGATCAGCACCAGCCTCAATAGCCGCCCGAGCTCCGTCTTCAGATCGTGTACCGCAGATCTTGACTAACGGCGAGGCTCGTGAAGCTTGAGCAGATTCCTCGTAAGACCCCCCAAGAAGCTCTGCAACAAAAGCAGATGTGTTAGATGCCCGCATAAGTGCCTCTCCCACAAGGATTGCTTTGACACCTTCTCTCTTGTAAGCCTCGACATCCTTGGGCCCGGAAATTCCACTAAGTGCGCAAACAATAGTATTCTCATTAACCTGGTCCATGAGACGACTCGTCGTACCGAGATCAACCTCGAAGCTTGTCAAGTCTCTGTTGTTTACGCCAATCACCTCGGCTCCAAGCTGGACCGCAATCTTCATTTCCTCCGGAGTATTAACCTCAACGAGAGGCTCCATTCCCAAGCTGCGGGAATAGTGATACAGTCTTGTAAGAAGCTCAACGCTTAGCATTTTCACGATGAGCAGAATAGTATCAGCCCCAGCAAGACGGGCTTCTAGAATCTGATATTCATCAAAGACAAACTCCTTCCTCAAGATTGCAGGTCTGTTTGTAACCCCTTCTAAGCTCTGGCGGACGGCACGCAAGTCGTCGATGCTACCTTTGAACCATTCTGGCTCAGTGAGGACAGAAATAACGCTGGCGCCGGCCTTGGCGTACTCTCTAGCTGGGCAGGGGCACACGCATTCTCTGCGATCATACCCTTGGAAGGGGAAGCGCGCTTGATTTCAGCCATAAGAGACAACGGATAAGGTGATTGTCTTAAACGAGCAGGGAATGAGAGTTGTGGAGGAGCAATGTTGAGGTCGTAAGCAGCCTGAAGATCCGCGGGCCGTTGCGAAGGAATAGTCTTCTGGATGGCAACAGCAGCCCTGCGGTGATCATATATCTTTTCTAAGATGGATGTCTTCTTGTCTACCTTCGGGGTGGTATTCGAGGCAGCCAACCCAGTTACAACAGAAGCGCCACTCTGTGCGCTGGATTGTTTGCCGTTACCCTCCCATGTACCCGCTGTAAGTTTGAGGAAGTTTCTAAACATCCCTCGGCCATACTCGGTGAGGATACTTTCAGGATGAAACTGGACACCCTCCACGGCAAGCTGCTTGTGCCTCACGCCCATGATAACGGTCTTGTTACTGTCCTCGCCCAGCTGGGCGTAAGACGTTACCTCCAAGCAGTCAGGGATTGTTGAGTGGGTTCCAGCAAGGGAATGATATCTGGTCACGGCGAGCGAGGTGGGCAGCCCTTCATATGCACCCTTGCCATCATGTGTTATCACTGACGTCTTACCATGCAAGATCTCGCCTGTGACATCGACTTTGCCACCAAAGGAAGAGATAATGCACTGTTGACCCATACACACACCAAAAACTGGTACTTTACCGCTGAAGTATTGAATTGCAGCGTTACTGATTCCAGCGTCCGTGGTCGGGTGGCCCGGACCAGGACTGATGACCAATTGAGTCGGCTTTTTGGCGATCAATTCCTCCAAGGATAATTCATCATTGCGAAACACTTGGACGGTGGCGCCCTCAAGAACCAGATACTGGTAAACATTCCAGGTAAAAGAATCATAGTTGTCGATCAGAATGACATTTGAAGCGCTATCAAGCCGTGAGGCTTTGGTGGGATGGTGAGGGGAATGGTCAACGAGATCGGAGCCCGCCATGACTAAGACCTGGATATAAGAGGTGTCAGAGTCAGTAATAATAATTGAAAAGAACAAGATACGTGAGAATTATAAGCGCAGATAGAAGTCTATCACTCAAGCAACAGCTCTAACTCACCTTTCTTCAGGTTTGGGCAACGAATTGTTTTAATGCGGGGCGTTTGACTCACTGAAGCATTCCGGCCCCGATACTAATATCCATCGCCTTTCCCAAACGGGTTTGTCTGTCAAACTGCGCAAAATTTAGTCTCACCGCCCTGCACTAAACCAAGATAGGCGTTGATTGTTGACCTCAGCCAAAAGTGCTCCTTGAATATTCTTGAGTTCCCGCTCTCAGCTTCCTACGCTTATTGCTTTATCGACCTTGCTTTATTTAGGTCCCTCCTACCTGCGCATACAAGCTGTATCTTTCTAGGTCTTAGAATGATATAGCTGTTGCGCCAATGGCTCCCGTTCCGGAAGCCTATTTCCCGTCCCTGGACAAGTGCTTTTCCGGGGACGTCCAGCTTCTGTACGCGCATATGCAATACTTAACAGTGGAGTAAGGCTGATTATACCATCTCTTTAGGTCCTGGAAGAGAGCATTTCTTTACACATGCAACCCCGAAGATGACGTAGACGACACCGGCAGTCTCTATGCTTTCTTGTCGCACCCGGAAAGCGTTCAGCTTCTTGCAAATTGTTTAGACGGGTTCGCCTCCTCTTCGGCAAAAACAAAGTCAGACTTTGAATCGAAAACGGCTGCGATCCATGCGGAGACCACAGCGCAAGCTTCATATAACCTAAAGGAACTCAAAGAAGACGCCTTGTGGCTGAGCCAGAAAGCCGGCATTGACGAAATCAGCGCCCTGAGAATTGCAGTCTTAGAATGGCAAAACCGCCCTGTCACACGCCTTCTGTCTGGATTCTCTGAAGAGGAATCTACAAGTTTGCAAAGCGCAGCTGGTGTCGAGAACTTTCGCATGTCGCTGGCTGGGCCCAGTTTTGCTGAAATTTTCAGTCAGAAAGTCGGTCGTGAGGACAATGGCTCGGGATTTGTTTCTGAAGAAAGTAGGCATCTGCGCCTGCGAGAGCTCTACTTGTCGGAAAGGGCACACATTATAAAGACGGCTCGGAGGCTACTCGCTCTCTCCCTGCACAGCGACGTCAACGAACCTGCTCCGCAAAAGTCCGAACGGAAACGAAGCGACTTGTTGTGCCAATTGGGTACGACACTCTTCAACAACAAGCTTGCCGGTGATAAACGCCACACTCTCATTCAAGCATGCATAACAGCTATCCAAGTTCGCCTTTCGGCATTGGAGGGAGATGGAGGATGGCTAGGACTCGCTGAGAGTAGCGAGGGCGTGGAAGATTTGTGGCGAACGGCTCTCGTTGAAGAGATATTGCACATTGTGCAAATTCTGTTTCTACAGCTTCAATCATCTGCGGAGCTCCCTTCCGCCGATGTTTTCGTGTCCTGGCTTCGTCTCATGGGCGATTACAACTTCCTTGAGCCACTCCAAATCGTGAGTAGTACTAGACTTCCTTCCTGCTCTCAAGTTCTGAAGCTGACCTCATAAAGCCATGCCAGAATCCGCAAGAGGTATTACTCCCTCTTCAAGCTTTTGTGAGCTTGACGACCCTTGCGTTCATGAAGCTACCGCTTACTATTCCCTCCATCATAAATAAAACTCCTACACCAGAGTCTAATACGAAACCACCATATTTTCTCTCGAAGGATGAGATTGGTCAGGTGAATGAGATTTTTGTTTCTGCAGTGGTGGAGTCCAAAGTTGCAAGCCCCGCGGCGTTCGCATGGGGACTGGTTTTAAACACTATGAGAGAGCTTGCCCTCAACGACAAAGAGAACCGAGAGTTGGAACAGTTTCACAGCGCAGTTGACTCATTTCAATCGAATACTCCTCAATCTACCGCAGGCGGAGCTTCAGAAATTTCACTTTATGAGGAGTTGTTAGAGTGCGCACGAACTCCGAAGTACACGGCTGATGATTCTATAACCCTGTTGACCTCGGATGAAGTGAGGGTCATGGCTTATGAGATCACCATGAATCTGGCTACCAAAGTTGGCTCCACATCTGCAGTTGACGACATTTTAACGAACTGCTGGGCTCGAACGGTGCTACTGGATCTCATCCGAGTGGCTGTGGTGTACTTAGATTATTCGCCCGAAATTGTGGAATCCGTTCTGGCAATCCTTGTGGGCTCATCCTCAGAACATCTATGGCCCAGGAATAGCCTTGCTTCGTCTTCTAGTGACCCACGGTGTATTTTCATCAAGGATGACCTCTTGATGGACAATATCTTTCGACTAGCCCGGTCGCGATTCCCTTATGAGACAGTGCCGTTTTTGAAACTCTGCCGCGCTCTTATTAGCAAAGACCTAGTTAACGACGAAGGGATCCCAGAAATTCTCAATGAAATGGAGAACATGGACACATTTACTCAGGCCTTGCCGCCTGATTTCCAAGGGTACGAGACGATACGGGAGGATGAGAACGCAAACTTCGTCACTCTCGTTGAATCCCTTCCTATGATTGGCTTATCCCCTCGAAGACAGTTATCTGAAAATCAAACCAGCAATGCTCTGGTTGTCACGGGCTCATCTCAAGTTCCGTCTACCACGATTGGGCAAGTCGTGTCCGAGTCAAGGCCCGCTGTTATCATGTGGCAGCACCGGTATTCTTCATTAAGCTACCTAGGAAGCTGGCTAGAGGAATGGAATGAGAACGGAGGATATTCAGCAGGATGGGGAGAGGACTCTATCGCGGAAATCATAGGGCTCTTGGCAGATCTCCTCAGTACCTCTAAGGATACACAACGTCAAAATGGCGATGACTCAGGCGCTAAGAGAATCTTGGAAATGGCAAGCGATGGGTTAGCCCGTCAGAGCGATATTGTTTCAGTGGTACTCGACATTCTCGAACGCAATCTGTCTCATATCGGACCTAGAGCAGGCTCTGAGATTGTTTTGGATTCCGTTATTGCCTGTCAGCGGTTTATCACCGCTCTTATTGAAGTTTTGCCTGGCAGAGTATGGCCATTCCTGTCTCGGAGCAGCCTCTTTGGTTCTGATGGCAAAGGCGGCATCATGACCGCAGTCATCTCCGCCCTCGAGGTCACATCAGGCGAATATCCCTTCCTCCTTAGCTGCGTACGTTTTTTCGAGTCCATTGTTGACGACGCTGCCTCTCGTGCTGTTTTGAGGAGAAGCCCCAATAGCATAATGGGCAAGACCGCAGCCGTTTCTGATTGGACTGCTGGCGTCCCATCCCATATGATGAGAGGAGTCCTCTTGGACTTTGTTCGAATCATGGTCGAAGTGTATAACAGCAGCATCAATTGGCGATTTAACTCCCCAGCGCAGAGATTTGAGATCAACGCGGCACTTGCCAAGACATTCGAAAGAATCCTCTACTATGCTTATGGCACGAATGACAGTACTAAACTGGATGCGAAGGTTACTGGTGTGTTCTCGTCCTCAGCGACGTACCTCCTGGATGTTTTACGACCGCATTCGATGAGTGATCTCCCTTTCAACCCGATCCTTCGACTCATTGCTGATGGCCTTCAAACCCCGCCCTCATTATACCTTCGGTACTTAACACTAGTAGAAAGGCAAGTCAATTCGACACTCATACTCTCAACCAGACTTTTACAAGCTGCCCAGCTACTCGATACACCGCCGTCATTACTAGAAGAGCAACTGTTCAAGGCAGCTCCAGTTCTCGTCAAACTATATGCACTGCATGACGCCTACCGACTACCTATTATATCTCTTCTAAACACACTTATCACAGGCGCTGCTTTGAATTCTGACAAAGAGCCACCGTCCCTGATTGGTCATTTGGGAGCCGAGTCATCCTGTCTCTTTCTCGATATCCTATCACAATTTGACAGGCCGTTGAGTGATCGAAACCTACATTTGGGAATATGGCAGCTATTGTCAACATTTGTCACCAAACGTCAGCAATGGCTTGCGGTCTATATTCTTACCGGATCCTCTCCTCGTCAAACACTGAGAAAGACCGACGATCAAAAGGCCCCGGCTATGAGAGGAACGCCCTTTTTGAAGATTGCTCTGGATACACTGTCAAACATCGACCAAGTTGATCTTCAGGTAGCTCTTGCGTTGCTAGAGTTTGTCTCTCATGCCCAGGAAAACTGGCCTTGGGCCACCTCTGAGCTGAGAAAGCACTCACTGTTTTTCACCAGCCTCGTGCAATATGTCTCGAAGTTGAAGATAGCGTCATTATCTGTGGTAGATCAGATATTCACTACACGAATTGCAGCTGTCGTCGCTGATCTCTGCACCGTGTATTTACATTCCGCAAAAGAAATGCAGGATCGGTCCTTCTACAAGACTTTGATTCCTCTTGTATCTTGGTACGCGAAGGATGCAGTTGAGGTCTCGGGGTACAATGCCTCACTACACGCCAACTTGAAGAAGAACTTTGAGATGAGGTATTCAGGCTGCAAGCTCGCTGATTTTAAAAGGACGACATTGCAGCCTCGCACCCTGGGCGGTGATTATTGTTATGATATTCGCCTCGGCGAAAAGCTTCTCTCTTACGATTTTGCATGGGCAGGAACCCGAAACCAAGGGTTTAGCCAGGAGTTCGAGCGCGCTAATCTCAATCTGTCACTGATTGAGGCTAAAGTGGTATGTATTTGTGCAATCCTTATATGAATGGGCTCTAATAGTGTTTGATCGCAGTCGCTCCTCCATAGTTGGAAATTCTTCGCCATCGAGCATTGTTCAGATTTTATGATGGATCGCGAGGTTCAAAAATCGATGGCTGTGGTCGTACAGAGATGTCTTGAGGCCAACACCAATGGCGTCCCACAAGAAGCAATCTTCGCGCGTATTCAACAAACCCGAGTAGATTTTGCACAGGTTCTACTCCAGCGACTTGTCGAGATCGGATCCCGAGGTGCTGAAGTTTTTGGTCTGCTTGGAGTCGTATGGGATGCATTACGCTCTCGCCGCGCAACGTATGAGGACGCAATCATCAATGACGATACCGAGTATTACCGGTCTCTTCTCAATGTGCTTTTCCTCGCCCTTCAGTTCCACCATGACTCACCTTCGCGCACAGCGCCCGAAACGCTCAGTAAGAAAGCTGAGGTATCATCTGACTTGGGACTGGTGGTCGAAATTGTAAAGACTGTGGTTGCTCAAGGGTTCAAGTCTTTGACTGCGTACTTGCACGATCAACCAGAGAAATGCACACCGAAGGACTTTGCCATCATAACGGCCATTTTGCAAAGCTGCTTGCAGGTGAAGAATGTTGATCGCGTATACGAGCATATTGTTTATCATATTGCGGATAACGATACGGGTCGCCATGCAACTTCTCTATTTTCGTGGGCTGATCAATTAGCTGTGGCTGGCGATCCCATCTACGGAGAACTCAGTATTTCTTTCCTTGTTAAACTATCAACCATACCCATGCTGGCAGAACACCTCGCCGTCGAAGTGGTCTTGGTCAGACTCTCTACATGCCGGCTGACAAACATTCTGCGACAACCCAAAGGCTTTGGCCCCTTTGATACTGTGCCTAGGATGTACGCTATCTGGACCGGCGGTATCCTTCCCCTTTGCCTGAACCTCCTCTACCACGTTATTCGCACAGCGCCCGAAGTGGCGGCCTTCCTCAACCAATTCGAGGGCCAACTTACGCGGGCGTCCGAGGCGTTTGCTGCCGACCGCACGGCTGGGTCTACGGCCCGACGCATCTGTCTGAGCATGACATCCGAGGCGTACTCACTAGCACTGATCTCCTTTATATTGGGTCGATTCCGCCAAGCAGGACCTAGTGCCGGCATGGATGCTGAGTCCATCCAGGAACTCAAATGGGACAGAGCGCACGTGAAGGAAGACATTGAAGATCTCCTTGAACGGAGACAACTCCTCCGAGCACGGATCGTGGCCACGAACGACAAGGAAGCGGAGCTGGTACGCCAGAAACCATTGAATGCTTCGTCGGGGGCCGAGAACCGACTGGAGGAGAAGATCGTGAGCGAGTTGAAAGCCACACTGGTCTGTCTTGGAGGAGAGGAGGCGTAATGAAGCTAATGTGTCCATCTCATGTTGTGTGCAATTTCAAGGTGTCTATGTGGTTATTTCTTGATATTTTTTCCTCCCTCCATGACTCGTTCAGGGTTATCCTTTTAAGATATAGCGTGATGTTTTTGACAGGAAATGGCAGACGGAGGGGGTGTAGAAATCTTTTATCGGTATTCCATTGATTGAACATACCTACCATATATCGGTCGCCTTTGCTTCTCGGACTAGGGTCAAAAGAAAAGAAAGAAAGAAATGATGTAACCGGCTAAATAAGGCAGGAACCGCTGTATAGACACTCCTCATTCGACTCGTAAGCATTCGGTCCCACCAATTGTAAGAAACCTCTCCGACTGTTCTTCCTCACCTGGGCAACTGTGTGACATATCCAGGGACAGTGCGCCTCTCATTCCCCCTATAAGACAAAGAGTCAAAGACCCGAGGTCATGAAGCGTTTACTTCCTCGGGATCTTCGCTCGGGGAGAAACTGATTGGTACCGACTTAACCGACCCTAAATGCGGGGAGAGCTCTGCAAGCTTGGTATGGGGGTTTGATCCTCGCGTTATGAATGGATAAAATTGGATAAATTATTCATTTCGCTGGTTCTCATGAGGAGGGGTTCGAGGTAGTCCACATTTTTGGGGAAAGTTTCGATTGAACCAAGTGAATTACTTGGCTCGCCCTGTTTCTAATTTTTATATATGAATTGCTCCTGCTCTCCTCGAGGCTTATATTGCGATTTACTCTTCCTTACCGTTTGTTGGACTTTATTAGTGCTTCCCTTCTTGAGCGCTATTTGATCCCTTATTTCCTGGGTGGAATCGTTAAGAGACTCACGATGCCTTTCAAATCGCGTTGGCAGGTGCATGTCCCGGATGCGCACCTGGCAACTGTCCTGTTCACATCGCCCACTCATCCGTTGTCAAAGACACACCGGTGCTTCTCTGAGGCAGCTCGTCCCGACACGCATTATTTCACCACGCATGATTTCCGACTATGGTCTAAGCGTTTTGCGGCAGGGTTGCGTAAGACTGGTCTCCAGCCCGGTGATCGTGTTTTACTCTTCTCCGGCAATGATCTCTTCTTCCCTGTTGTCTTTATGGGCATCATCATGGCGGGAGGCATCTTCTCGGGGGCCAATCCTACTTACGTCGCAAGGGAACTGGCGTATCAGCTCCAGGATAGCGGCGCAACTTACCTCATTTGCGCTGAAGGGAGTCTCGATACTGGTGTTGAAGCGGCGCAACTTGCAGGATTGAGTCGGGACCAGGTGTTTGTTTTTAACAATGCCATCTTCGATGGGCGTGGAGAGGGCAAGATGGGTTGTCGCTATTGGGGTGAACTGGTGGCGTCTGCGGAGGAAGGCCATCAATTTGAATGGGACGATCTATCGACTCCAGAGAAGGCTAGCCGTACCCTTGCCTTGAATTATTCCAGCGGCACGACGGGGAGACCCAAGGGCGTGGAAATCTCTCACAAAAACTATTGCGCCAACATGCTCCAGGCTAATCAATCGTTTTATCTGAATCCGGACTGGAAAGAAAGGAATGCTAGGTCCCGGTTCCTCTGTTTTCTACCGATGTATCATGCGATGGCCCAGAATATTTTCATTGCGAACGCATTGAAGCGTGAGGTTCCTGTGTACATCATGCCCAAGTTCGACTTCATCAAGATGCTGGAATATACGGAGAAATTCCGCATCACGGACCTTATTCTGGTCCCTCCTGTGGTGGTTGCCCTAGCCAAGCATCCTGCGGTCAGAAGCGGCAAATATGATCTTAGCAGCGTCGAGGGAATTGCCAGTGGTGCAGCGCCCCTGGGAAGAGAAGTCTGTGATGAGGTGGAGGCGCTCTGGGAACCTGGACGTATCAATGTGAAACAGGGCTGGGGGATGACCGAGTAAGTTGTGGCCCCTATTTATCTCCACCAATGAAGCAGGGTATGAAAGCTAACACAGAAGCTTTTCCAAAGGACTACATGCGCTATACTTGGCTGGGACCCCACTGAAACAAGTCACACCGCGTCAGTTGGAGAGCTGAACCCCAATTGTGAAGCGATGATCATGGCGGACGACGGGGTCACCGAGTTAGGACGTAACCAACGGGGTGAACTCTGGGTCCGAGGTCCGAACATTATGAAGGGCTATTGGCGAAATCCACAGGCCACAAAGGAAACCAAGACGGAGGACGGATGGCTGAAGACCGGAGATATCGCATATGTGGACGATCAGGGGAAGTTCTACGTAGTTGACCGAAAGAAGGTACGTCGTATGACAAATAGCTCAGTTGCCACATCTGGCGAAAAAAAATTAGCCTTGCATACATCCCTTTAGAGCTTATGCATGCGTTGACTGATAAATTCTGTCCTAGGAACTGATCAAAGTGAAAGGCAACCAAGTTGCGCCGGCAGAGTTAGAGGCCCTCTTGCTGAAGCATCCGGCAGTAGCTGACGTTGCGGTCATTGGAGTGTCGGTGTAAGTATTATATTTGCCTCTCTGGAGATGGATGAACAACCAGGAGCAGCTGATAGACTGACTGTCAACGAATAGGAACGATGACGAGCGCCCTCGGGCATATGTGGTGCTAAAACCTGGACAGAGCGCCTCCGCACAGGATCTTATCGCATTCATGGACGGGAAAGTCTCCGCGATCAAGAGGATCACTGGCGGGGTAATCTTCGTTGATACAATTCCTAAGAACCCTTCAGGCAAGATCCTGCGAAAGGTCCTTCGAGACCGCGCTAGAGAAGAGGTGGCCTCAAAACCGATTATCACCGCGAAGCTATAGGTCACACTCTGTATTTTGCCTCTCACTTCTCCAATTTTTTTTCCCCCTCGTCTGCGGAGCGACAGGCCTAGGCTAATGTAAATCTAAAGCTTCGGTGACCTGATTGGTGGGGCAGCCGATTTTAGCATGCATTGAAGGGACCTGGTTGTTGGGTCGAACGGGCGAGGAATATTGAAATGACATACTTGATAGACGAATCTGAGTGGATCAAGGTTCGCGTAGTCCATTCCTCTTAAATTTTCCTGCTGTCAAAAGGCCACGAAAGGAGGTCGACGCCACAGTCGATCACTCTGTTTACCGCCACACTGAACGCATTTGGCTCTTTTTCCCTGTGCCAAAAGCAGATCTAAGATATTAGTGCGTTAGTAGTGTCTAGTAGTGCAGGAGTGAAAGACTTGACCCAGTGGACACCAGCACAGACGCAATCTGATCTAGAGCTCTTACCGAGGAAGGAAAAATAAGAGATTCGCGAGAAAGAAAAGTTTCAAAAGAGGGGGGGTAGCATCATCTTAGCAGAAGCCACACCTCCAGCAAAAGAAGGTAAAGGATCGACCCGTCAAGCCATGGCTACCTGATACGAGACTTTTGTCATTACGCTGGCTTTATGCGAACCAAGATGGATCTGCGCGAAAGCAGATGATCGAAAGATGGGCTGAGCTGAGAACGAATATGTAATGTAAGAGAATAACGATGGTGGATCCTTTCGATTAATATTCACAAATTACATCCATATTCCATGTATCTTATAAACGAAACGGAGTCACGAGGGTATGGGCACCTTTCCCAATGGGGAACAGTCAATGACGACTGGCGCTTCAAACCTGCAATGGATCTGGACCTTGACAATCATTAGGAGAGACATGCATTAGATGGAGAGACGCTTCTCTCACTCTCTCACTCTCCACTTCCTCCTTCCTGGCTTACGCTCGACCACAAACCGAGCCGCAAATGTTTAGTGCCGGTAGCCAGCCTTATTCATACTCCTGGGGACCGGTGCCCCTCGCTAAGTCCGCCTAACGAACTAGCGGGAGAAGCTCCTCTCTTGAGCCGGCAACTGTGCAGGTGGCGCTCTTTCAGGGCAGCTGAACTCAGGTTTCCTTGTTGGCCTTGTTGCCGCATTCTTGGGTCTCATCTGGCCCTCTCGTCGTCGTACAATCGCGGTTGGCTCCTTTCGCATGGGTCTTGCCCACCGCTTAACCTCGCGTGGCTGACTGGACTGGAAGCCCCCTCGTACCGAATTGTGCTTCAAGAATGGCTGCATGACGCAGGGTTGGATATACGTGCCTGCATGGTGGAGTCTGTCATTTTATTGGAATACCTTTAGAAAGTAGCAATTCCCTCACTGGGTCAATCTGAGACGGGGGATTATTTCTTTTCGATCCAAGTACCTCTGGTGGCCATGGCCCGGATTATAAAGATCCCTGTATACCGCTCATAGCTCTTATTCGCAAGAGACCAAGCTTAATATCATCTCTACTTCTATCCCATTTTGCTTCATTTTTTCCAGCTATTTAACCGTCAACCGAGCATACTTGAAACCAAACCTATTTCCTATTTTAGTATAGAACGCCTCAGACGGCCATCTCCAGTACTGGACAAACAGACTGTTGAGGAATAAGTGATCTACGCGCCGTTAACGTTCCAAAGAAAAACCGCCGAGACTCTCCTTAGAGCAAGGAGACAAAGAGACACGGGCAATGGGCCATGAGAAGGGAAACGACGCCGTGAAGAACATCCAGGCTCTGTCGTTCTGGATCTCCTTTACCGTCGTCTGCATACTGTGCGTCCTATTCCTCGTTCAACGTATCAGACGACGACATCTGGGCAGATACGCACCGCTAGAGAGGCAAATGGATCCGCGACACTTTTCTTTTGGCGAAAAAGAGAGGCGTGGTGGCGACGAGGAACTAGCTGGCCTAGTGGGCCACGGAGTGCCCTACTATCCAAGAGACCCGTCGACCTACGGTGTCGCCGGACTCCCTTCAGCCTGTGATATTCTGCTGCCCCTGTCCCGGTCGACACATCTACCCTCGAGTGGTTATCTTGCTGCCGTTCTAGGCCGGAAACAGAGTGTCAGCACCGCGCAATCATATCCGCAGATTCAGGCTCCTTGCGCTGTTGCCCCATCCGAGCTGAGCCCCAACTCGGGAGATAGTCGGCCATCCACCGCTGGGACGGACGCTGGGCGCAGCAACAGGCTTTTGCGATCTGGATCT